ATCAAAAAGACTTTTTGGCTGAAATAAGATTTTAAAACTTGGTTAGGTGGACATTTTTTGCAGTGTAAACATATGGCAAGCCAGGAGTGACACAAAACACATGAACTGCTAGCCTCTGCTTCTTCCTGATGAGACTATGTAACGTCATGGGAAAAACCAGCCCCGTGCCCTACGAATCAATATTCCAAAATTTWAATGAAATTGATCCAAGATTGATTTAATCAACCTTTTTACTCAGCCCTGGTGATAAAGGAGCTCAGCCAAGAGCCAAAACTGTCAATTTACGGTTCAATCCTCACAAGATGTGGCTCATGGCTGAAAGAAAGAGATCTTAAATACCAACAGCTGAAATGAGCTTCCTTCACAGAATCAGCCTCAGAAATAAGATCAGCAGAAATCAGCGGAGATGGTTCAGACATGTGATGACGGTACCATCTGGATGCCTTTCTGTGCAGGYTTTCAGAGTCCATCCAATCAGAAAGAGACACCAAGAGAAGATCCAGATCTTTGTGGGAGGAGCTGTTGCCTGCATGACCTGACCGTGGATAGATGTGCAGAATAACACAAACTCCCGGCTACCACTTCCATTTGACCCATTTATCAGCCTAATCTAGGTACACATGGGCATGAACTCTAACAACACAACGTATACAGAAGTCGTTCAGTCCTCCGACTTTCCGTCTGCCCCTCTCACTTCTGCACACGCTCGCTCACACGGGCGCGTTGGGCTCGACTACAATTTAATTTGCTCTGGAAGAGATGGGATAGAGCATCAAATTATTCCTAACGAGGAAAATCAATCACCTCGGGTGCAGATAAGCCGAAAGCTAGTCAASTCTGATTGATTCAGGCACAGCAGCTGCCACGCTGGAATTTGACAGATAACTGCGAGTCAGGTGGACGGAGAAGAAAACGGTGAGGAGAAAAGAGAGACAGAAAGAAGAGAAGAAAAGAAAAGGTGGACCTGGAGAACACGACTGAATAGAAAGTTGTCTTCAGTGAAACAAAGTTTGAAGTTTAAAAAATTGCGATGGACAGGAGAGAGTGTAGAAATATTTCTGTTTCGTACTGTTTATTCATTTTTTTTTAGGATTTTATTTCAGTCGGACAAACAATTAAAACAATTCAAATAATAATAACGTGTCAAAAACACACAACACAACATGGTCAAATGAAAAGGAGCAGAAAGAAGAAAAAAATCTTGTAACATCTTCCCCCATTTAAAAAATATATATGTACAAAACGTACAATACGCAGAAATTTAAATTCAGCTTAATTCACAGTATACCCCCTCGAGTCAGTTTTTTACCACCCGCAGCTTTTCTGRGTTGCGCCACCAGGGGTCTCTGGTTCGGGGGTCTGAGGTTAACATGAGGGATCAGGATTAATGGTTAATTTTAGGTACCAGGGTCAGGGACAGGATGYATACAGTGAATAAAGGTAATTTCAGGCTTTGGGACGGTAGTTTCTGTGCATTTCCTACACTTTCTGAAATTATGACAACAGATTCCRCCCCATCTCATCAAAAACTGACTTAAGGGGCCTACCCGACGCRTCAAARTCTGATGCAGAAGGAACCTTGGAAAGCGTCAATATGTGACGACTTGGGAGTGAGAATGGGTTGATTTTRGAGAAGTTGTTTAACTCGGTTCAAACAGAGAAGAGTAGAAGTGCCGACCAGCACTCTGTACATGTGGAGGATTTTCTGAGGTGTTCTGACATACTGTTCACACAAACTGATGTAGTCTCACTTTTTCACGTGTGAGGAATTACAAATGTGWAACTTCTCAATGAGTCACATAGTAGCAGCACCTTTTTTCCTCTCCTCCTGCTCAGCGAGCTTCTTTGAAACTTTATTTTTTTGCCTGCCAGAACTTGTCATTGAACTTTGTGGCAGTTGTGTCTGACAGGATGCTTTTATTGGGGGCTTCTAAAGGCAGAACCAAATGGACGGGCAATTACGTTTATGGGCAGTTTGAGGTGACATCCCTGCATATTGGATGGTCTTTTAAATAGGAGTCATCAGCTACAATGGTTCTTCCAGAGATGAAAACAAAAACAAGGGGGCAATTTCAACTGTCAGCATAATGCCAATCGACCACTCCACTCGTCTTCCTCCGTTCTCCACAGTGACTACGTGATTGGCTGCCCCACAGCTTTATATATCAAACACTAAAGTGCTCTGGTGATGTTTTTTTTTTTTACCTCAAGGCACCCACAGCTAAAAGCAGTGATGTCACACCCTAAATTGGTTTAGATTTCCCCCTGATGCTTTTACTGTTAGTTTTTTTWAAAGAAAGATGTTTTTGTTGTTGTCCTTTGTTTCAGCTAACCACTAATCAAACAATACTAAGCGTATTACATACCACAACCCAGTAGTTTATGACATGCTTATTCTTAAACATACTTCCGTGATCATATAATCACAAACATTGTCTTGGCAACTTGTACTGTGGTGTGCTGGAACAGAAATGCTAAATTATGTATCTGTATTGAGGCAGATAGTCATGGTTGTCATCGTGTATCACTTCAGGCCCTCTTTTTTTGTCTGGTAAATCACACAATATGATTAAAGTACATGGTTTTAACAGTCTTCACCAGCTTTGTGATCATTCAGTCGGACTTGGTTTCTGCAGCTCCGTGGGCAGTGTGCAGGGATTTATTCTGCCGAATTTACTGCAGAGTACACGCTGGACATGGAGAAGAGATGAATGTGGAGTTTTGGACAATAATTATTACATTTTGTTTTCACTGGTTACTCTTGTCGTGTGTTGTTGGTTTTATTACTAATCCAAAGACCTACCACGTACAGCTACAACTATGGGATCCTCTAATGTCGTCGTTTGTGGAGGTCACATGTTTAAGTGACAAACCATCGGCTGATTGTTGCACACTGACAGTGTCCTACTTAAACGGGTGCTTATGATTGTTTGTTCCAAAAATTTGATTTGATCTAAAAAAGGAATCTCTTAAGTGTTAGGACAACCAATGAGTACCATCTCAGATGTGCTATCACTTATTTGAGCAGCATTTTACCTCTTTATTACAATTTATGATTGATCATCATTACTTGCAGRTATATAAATCAGTGTATCATCTGCGTAACAGTGAAATAAAATATTGCACTAAAAGGGGCAATATCATGTAAAATCAATTTTTTTTGAGTTTTATATGCTTTGTCTCCAAGCCGAACTTCCTCATCACAGAGCACACACACCCAMCCAGCCCTGTGCTGAAATGGGCGGGACAGAAGCGGAAGGAGGTTCTTAAAGAGACAGAGGCCAATTTCAAGGCGTTTAGAAACAGATATGACTAGAAGTCAAGTTTAATTCTATTTAAACATATAAATAAACAACATTTTAATAACTGAAGGTGACATAGTTATTTTACTATGGTATAGAAGGTAAATATATGCCTGAGAAACCCATAATATTGCCCCTTTAAAATTTGATCCACTGGCAGGATGATCAATGTGAATAAAATTGACCCTAAGATGAATCCTTGAGGAACTCCACAACCATAAATTTAGCACTTACTTGAACCACAGCGTGGATTTATGTGTTCAGAATATGACCTTATTTTAAAGACTTCTTTTTTTTCTTGGTAGGGGGTGAACAGTATGTTCCAGGTGTTTCTGACAGGAAACAATTCGGAATACTTCACKATCTCACCAACAGCAGTGCAAGGCCGAGCTGACATCCGAGTCAGGGTTGCCATGCCTCTCGACTATGAAACCATCCGCAGCTTCAGCTTTTCGGTGAGTCTCAAACACCTTTCACTGTGCCTGTGTTTACCTTTTTAGGGACTGAATTGGTGGTAATGACCACYTGAACCAGAACCTGTGGGTATCCTGGTGTAATTAAAGACTAGAGACAATTACCTTCAAGATAGTTTTTATCTGAGAATTTAAGAATTCCTGTTATTATTYTTTTCAGCTCTTTGCCAATGAGTCCATGTCAGACCATGTAGGTTTTGCCAGAGTCTTTATTGACCTGATCAATGAGAACGATAACCGTCCCATCTTCAGCAAACCTCTGTACAACGTCAGCATTCCTGAGAACACACCTCCTGGTACGCCTCTGCTGCAGGTCCTGGTGAGTATCTTTGTCTTTACAAACCTGAGAACCAAAGAAATGTCTGAGAAGCAAATCATTATAAAATCCACTTGATAAGACTCGGACTCTTCAAGTCGTTTTATTGGGAGTGAAGCACCTGTTTTGGCTGGCACTTGTGACCCTGTTCTCTTGAGACTTCACCTTATGAGGAGAATATTTATGGTGACTTGGATCAATAACAAAAAAAACACCAATATTTCTTTCTTGCCCACCTGGAGCACGGGGTCATGGTTAACCTACAGACTTACAGTGGAAGTCATTTTAAAACGGTGTGGTTGTTTCTTCCTGCAGGTGCAGCACATTGTTTGGGTTAGATAAAGGATTTCAATTATTAGCCTGAAATTGCTGCTTATAGCCTGAGTTGAAAGTTTCATGTTCTACAAAAGAGGAGCTTATTATTGTATTACAAAAAAAATGTTTCAAATTAAATTTCTATTGTTCAATTACTTGAATTTTCACTGCTGTTTCAAGTGTCAAACACTTAAATAAATAGTTGCATTATTTCTTTCCTGCAGGGCTGGTAGCCTTGGTTTAGCCGCTCACAGTTCAAGTATTCTCGAAGGCACTTCACCGTGAGTCCCAGGATCCAGCYGGGCTCATCCTGAGCTCCTATTCAGACCAGCAGCCGCTCTTTTAACCATATCGGAAAAAATCTCTGAGCGTCTCCCCGCAACTCTGCATTATTATTCATTACCAGTCACTCCTGTGACAATCCACAATCCACTAGACACAAGTGCCAAAAAGCACAGTGTGAAAATCAATAGTGTTTATAGACTGGGTGCTCATGAAATGGAGATTGCGGAGCCTAATACCTGATAAATCTAACTGATGTTTGCCCTATACTAAAGCGTGTGGCCTGCCTTTGAATCCTGATTGCTGGCAGTGGAGCATGAATGGGTTGTAAACAGAACAACATGTGATGGCTCTCCTTTGATATCTCTATACTGGCATGAGTTCATCAAATGTGCAACACAGCTTCTACCAGAATATAGAACATAAGGAAACACAATTCTTTTACCAAAACTTGATCAAAACTCCTGGTTTGATTCAACTTGATGAATGAAATACAAACAAGGTTGAGTTTGAGTTAGTGTGATGCAAATCAGCACAAAACCCATTTAACAGACAGTTTCAACATACAGTATTTTAGAGTCACCAGTGATGGATGGATAGATGGATGGATGGATGGATGGATGGATGGATGGATGGATGGATGGATG